AAGGTCCCAAAAGGGGATCCCATGACCCTGGGACACCGCAACCGTCATAAATGTGAGTCATCAAGCATCTGAATGGAAATCATGTGATTCTGGGAATGCTGCAATGGTCATAAGTGTGAAAAACAGTCATTGTAACTTCGGTCACTAAATGAACTGTTGCAAGTTGAGGACTACCTGTATACACATAAGTTGACAAATACCCACAAGGATGAGCAAATAAAATCATTTTATACTAAAAAAAATGTCATTTGAGTGAATTCAGTCGTCTTCTTCTTTTTTTTGGTTGATCATTGTTCTCCGGAGAACAAGCAAGCTTTCTGAAAACATTACAGTTTAAGAGCATTTAACAAATAATTCCCTCAACACTTTCAAACTATTTACTAAGTCTGCACTACTATTAATCTTCTCATCATTCCCACCACCGATCTCTTTCCACTTATGACTGTATGACTGTACCTTTGTTGCTCGTATCCTTACGGTTTATATTGATATTGTTTCCTGATTGCTTATTTGTACCCTATGACTATCAAGTGTTGTACCTTATGATTCTTGATGAATGTATCTTGTCTTTTTATGTACACTGAGAGCTTATGCACCAAAGACAAATTCCTTGTGTGTCCAATCACATTTGGCCAATAAAGAATTCTATTCTATTCTATTCTATTCTATTCTATTCTATTCTATTCTATTCAGAGCATTTTGACGGTCCATGCTACAGATAGTCCTCGTCAGTGATGAAATTCAAATTTTTTTACAACTGGTTCTGTGGGCGTGGCAGAGGAAGGATACTGCAAAATCTCCATTTCCACCCCACTCCAGGGGAAGGATACTGCAAAATCTCCATTCCCACCCCACTCTGGGACCAGCCAGAGGTGGTATTTGCTGGTTCTCTGAACTACTCAAAATTTCCTCTACCTGTTCTCCAGAACCTGTCAGAACCTGCTGGATTTCATCCTTGGTCCTCATCTTATGACCACAGTTGAACCCAAAATTTCTGTTGCTAAGAGAGAGAGTTGTTTTGCTCCATTTTCTGGCTACACTTGTTAAGTGAATCACTGCAATTATTAAATTAGTAAAGCTGACTAACGTAAGTGAATCTGGCTCCCCCGTTCTGATTTTGCTTATCAGAAAATCACAAATGACCCCAGGGCACTGCAGCCATCATAAAGATGAGTCAGTTGCCCAGCGTCTGAATTTTGAGTGGAGTAGATCCACTATTTTCTTTCTGCCAGAATACAAAATGTGAGCAGGTTCCCAGAAGGTCTGTCAGGATCTCCTGCCTTTCGTCTTCAGTCTCTTATCTGGGATTGATTTTGAATGGTAGGTCAAGTGACTGAAAAGTCTGAGATGATTTAGGTTTTTCTTGCTTCTTCTCCCTCCCCTGCTCTAGTTTTTGTTTTCTAAAAAGATTAATATCATGTCTGATGGAACATTCTGAGGTTCTCAAGTTTACTTTTGGTAACCTGGAAAAGATATTATCTTATTAATTCTGGGTTTTCTTTCTGGTGAATCAACCCTGCTGTAAATTGTTTCTTATGATTATGGCTGGATTTCATTCCTTTATTTTGCTTCAGTTACTAACAGACTCCCACACAGCAATTGTGCAAGACAAGGCTAACATCTTTTTTATTTTAAAAAAATCTCATCCTTAAATGACATCTTCTAAAGAGCTGCCTCCGATGTGGTGGATAGAAGCCTTTAAAATATATATACAGTATATAAATCTTTGCAAAATTGAATAAAATTCAGTTTTATTGATCAGCAGTAAAATGTTGTTCTAAGCTGCAATTTAAAGACACAGAGTCACAATTGTCAGGATTGTGATTTTTAAAAAAAAAAATAATAATTGACTCCATTCATTCTTATAAAAGTTATTTGGTATATTTTTGTATGAATTTCTTAGAACTTTCAATGATGTGATTTCTGATCTTGAAATAGGGACCATTCTCTCTAGTTCTAGTCACCCAACCACTGTTTACTTAGGATAGTGGTTTGGTTGTTATTTTTTTTTTACAAAAGTTTTTCTTTTTTATTGTTGCTAAACATAATATTTCAAAAGCAGAAAAAAAAAATGAAGAGGCATAAAACAAAAACAACATAAAAACATCAACCTTCCAGACACTTACAGACAGTATTTTGATCGGTGAAAATCATTTCGTGCTCTCGAAAATTTCAAACTCTCATTATATGACAGATATTCTTACCTCTAACAAAAAAACAAGTGCTTAAACTAATGTTGCCAGGTGTCCACTATTTGAGCGGACAGTCCGCTTTTTTCACATTATGTTCACTATTTTTTTTCACAAAATAGTGGACATTTTTTTTATTCAAAAGCTTTATGATGAAATTAAATTGTAATTTAATATTTTACATATTATTATAATATATTTGATGTTTTGAATTTTAAGTAAAGTTTTGAAGTGATTATTTTAATACGTGTTAAAATGTTTGTAAGAAAATATATAATTGTAATTTTTATTATTATTTTTTACTACTTAACCCCCACCCCCACCCCCCCACTGGTCCGCTATTTTTTGGAAGCAGACCTGGCAACCCTAGCTTAAGCATTTTATCCAAATTTCATTTCATATATAAGTATAAGTATAATTTTATTTCTATACCGCCCTTCTCCTGAAGGACTCAGGGCGGTGTACAGCCTATTTAAAAACACAAGACAAACATCAATTAAAAATTTAAAATTATTAAATATAAATATTTATATAATGTTTCATCTCCATGCTTTATTATCTATCCAATGATAAAATAGCTCCCATATCAAATAATATTGTTTATCTTCCTGTTCTCTTATTTCAAATGTCAATCTACTCATTTTGGCACAATCCAACATTTTCTTGATAATTTCTTCATCAGTAATCATCTTCTCTCCTTTCCAGTTTTTTGCAAATACAATTCTAGCCCCTGTTAAAATATTCACAATTAAATATTGTAATTCTTTATTAAATATCTCTGGTAAGATCCCTAATAAAAATATCTCTGGTTTAAGGTCAATATGTCTCTTTGACATTTTTTCCAACCATGTGTGTATCTTAGTCCAAAATCTCTTTGCTTCTACGCATGTCCACCACATATGGTAATAAGATCCTGGGGTCTGATGGCATTTCCAGCACTTCTCCGATTTGTTCTTGAACATTCTGGCTATCCTCGTCGGAGGTAAATGCCACCTCTTACTTAGGATAGTGGTTTTGTACAGTGGTGGGGTGCTCATCTCCGTTTCAAAGCCAAAGAGCCAGCGCTGTCCGAAGATGTCTCCGTGGTCATGTGGTCGGCATGACTAAACGCCAAAGGCGCATAGAACGCTGTTACCTTCCTACCAAAGGTGGTCCTTATTTTTCTACTTGCATTTGTTTTTTATGTGCTTTCGAACTGCTAGGTTGGCAGAAGCTGGGACAAGTAATGGGAGCTTACCCAGTTATGCTGCACTAGGGATTCGAACTGCTGACCTTTCAATTGACAAGTTCAGCATCTTAGCCCTGAGCCACCACGTCCCTTACTATATTGTTAACAACTATATTGTATAATATAAACAACTATATTGTTGGCTATATAAGTGTTGTAAAAAGAAGAGACTTCAGGCTGTTACATGGAGATATGCATTTCTCTTTTCTTTTTATTGTTAGTATTTAAGTATTTGTGGTAGAGCTATAAATACTCCCACGTATCTCAAAAGAACAAATAAGCACTTTGTCGGCATTTTCTAATCTTTCCATGAACCCCTAAAGCTGTTTAATGAGCTTTTCTCCATAAATTTGATTTCCTGGCTGCGACAAATGAAGCAAAAATTATATTTTGTAATCTAGACATTCCTTTATAACATTTTAGATTTTATTTTCATATTTTATATTTTTATCTGTGTTCTTTTAAATCATAAGATGATCTGAATGTCAATGGCCATACGATAAATAGAATCTCCATAAACAGTTGAACAATTAACTGATGCTACACTGCATATTGAAAGAGCCAAGAGGGAAAAGTAATAATGTCTTAGACTGATTTTTTTTTCTTAGAAAGGGAAATCTTTTCCCTATGTTCTTGACACATGGAGAGAATTTAAATATGCCCAGCAGGGTTTCAAGTGGCACCAGCCAAGAACCTGAAATAGGAGTCATGGTGTGGCAATTGTCATTCAAAAATTGCTTAGAGCTTTCAGGGTCCCAGCCCTGAAGGTCACCCAATGAGATTCTCTCAATGTGTCTAAGTTATAGAAGTTATAGAGTAGAGTAGAGTAGAGTAGAGTAGAGTAGAGTAGAGTAGAGTAGAGTAGAGTAGAGTAGACTGGGTAGAGTAGAGTAGACTGGGTAGGAGTAGAGTAGAGTAGAGTAGAGTAGGAGTAGAGTAGAGTAGAGTAGAGTAGAGTAGACTGGGTAGAGTAGAGTAGAGTAGACTGTAGGAGTAGAGTAGAGTAGACTGGGTAGGAGTAGAGTAGAGTAGAGTAGAGTAGACTGGTAGAGTAGAGTAGAGTAGAGTAGGAGTAGAGTAGAGTAGAGTAGAGTAGAACTGGAAGGGACCTTGGAGGTCTTTTAGTCCAGCCCCCTGCTCAAACTGGAGAACCTATACTATTTCAGATAAGTGATTTTCTAGACTCTTCTTAAAAACCTCCAGTGATGGAGCACCCACGATTTCTGGAGGCAAGCTGTTCCACTGGTTAATTATCCATACTGTTAAGAAGTTTCCCCTTAATTCCAGGTTGTTTCTCTCTTTGATCAGTTTCCAACCATTGTTTCTTGTCCTGCCCTCTGGGTGCTTTGGAGAATAATTTGACCCCCTCTTCTTTGTGGCAGCCCTCAAGTACTGAAATACTGCTATCACGTTACCCCAATTCTTCTTTTCTTTAGACTAGCCAGACCCAAAATCTGCAACCGTTCTTCATATGGTTTAATCTCCAAGCCTCCAGTTCAGCTAAGGTTTGTTTGGTTCCATGTAAGCAGTGTTCATTTTTAACCCGTACATGAAATTAATTTGCTTTTTCCACTTCTTTTCAGCCCACTTAACAATGCATCAGATAATACAAACCGCATACAGCTGGTTTTGGTGGGAGAACATCTGGATGCCTGCTAATTGCACGTGGGCGGATTTGGAAGATCACAATGGATACATCTTTCCCAAGCCACGACAATTATTTGCCACAATTCCATATGCCTTTGTGATGTTGGTTATCAGATTCTTTGTTGAAAGGTATAAAAAAAAATCTCTCTCTTTTTTTAAAAAAAAAAAAGTACTCTTTTTTTCTGCTCCAAAAATTCATTCCTCCCCACCCCCACATATTTGATTTTCAATGCTATGAAATATCTTAAGGCCATGTGATGATGAACCTATGGCACGCGTGCTGGAAGTGGCACAAAGAGCGATCTTTCTGGCATGCCAGCCGTTGCCCGTTGCTCTTCCGGGTTCCGGTGTGCATGTGTGTCACAAACCGGATAACCAGGGGAACTGGTGTGCATGTGCATGCCGGAAACCAGAAGCTCAGCTTCCTGGCGTGCACATGCCTACTGGCGAACTGCTCTTCCGGTTTCTGGTGTTCCCCCACGCGCGGGCTCCGTTTCAGCACTCAGTGCCGAAAAGCTTCGCCAACACTGTCTTTAAGGGCTTCCTTCCTTGCCAGTTCTCCAAACTACTCAACAAATTCCGCTACCAGTTCTCCAGAACCGATCAGAACCGCTGAATACCACCTTTTGTCCGGGCGAGTGGGCAGAGTCTCCCGCAGTTGCCGCTACCAATTCACCTGATCTGGAGAGAACCGGCTGAATCCCATCACTGTCTTAAACCCTTTAGAAGATGCCCAATTGCAGGAAGACTCCTCTGTCCTGGAACATGGACTAACCAAGCTGTGCAAATGAAGAAATGATGCAACACAAATGATGAACGAGTGCTCCACAATTCCCCACGAGACAAAGCACTTCATTTTCCTGTGCTATCGTATAGCTAGCCTCATATCGAAATCATTACCTTTTACAAACTTCCTTTTTAAATTGTCTTTCAGATACATGGCTCTTCCTCTGGCTGACTACTTGGGCATAAAGGATGTGAGGCGGATCAAACCGCAGGATAATCCCACCCTTGAAAATTTTTTCCGACAGCGCACAAAAAAGCCTTCCCAGGTGAGGATTCTTCTTCTTTTTTAAAAAAATTGCTCCCTGGGAGATTTCCATGGCCCAAACCACTGCTTGGTTCTACCTTTCTAGCCAGCCAAGGGATGGTAGATAGAATAACAAGACTGGAAGGGACTTTGTAGGTCATCTAGTCCAACCCCCCACCCAAGCAGGAGACCATACACAGATGGCAGTCCAGTGCAGGGGTGAAATGCTCCCAGTTTGGACCGGATTGCCTGATCCGGTAGTGATGGCGGTGGGTGGTTCGGAGAACCAGTAGCAAAAATCCCTGTCCCCCCTCCCCCATGCCCAGCTGAGCCACGCGATCATTCAAAGGCTTTTTTTTTTTTTTTTTTACTTTTAAAAGCATTTTTTCTTCGGGCAAAAAAATGCTTTTAAAAGTAAAAAAAAAAAAGCCTCTGATGATCACGCAGCTCAGCTGGAATCGTCAGAGGCTTTTAAAAACATTTTTTTTACAACCTCTTCGGCTTGTTCAGTTTCCATCCTTTATTCCTTGTCTGGCCACAGAGCTTTGGAAAATAGCTTGATCCCTTGCTCTCTGTGGCAGCCCTCAAATATTGCACACACTGCTACCTGTCTCCCTGGTCCTTCTCTTCACTAGAACTAGCCATGCCATTCCTGCAACCGTTCATCATATCTTTTAGGCCTCCGTTCCCTCATCCTCTTGGTTGCTCTTCTCTGCACTCTTTCCAGAGTCTCAACATCCTTTTTATAATGTGGTGACCAAAACTGGATGCAGTACTGTAGGTGTGGTCTTACTAGACTTGCCAATCTTCAGAGCATGAAGAACCCAGGCAACTATAGCTCACAGAGAGGGGTGCCACAATGTAGTCCAGTAACACCTAGCTCCCCAATCTTCCTAGCCCTCTGTGTGCTTCTTACAAATCTTCAACCTTGAAAACTTTAAGGTGTTGGATTTCAGCCATGCTGTTGAAGTCTACGCATTCTGTCCGTCCCATTTTAAATCGCCAAGTTTGAGAAATATTGCTTCAACCGATGGAGTTGGCCAAATCGTGAGTCACTTTGTCCCCCCCCCCAGCGCCCTTCATACGGGTGGTCCTCAACTTACGATCACATTTGAGCCCGATGTTTCTGTTTCTAGAGGTGAAAGAGTTTTGCCCCATTTTAGACTTTTCTTGCCACAGTGTTTTTTTTTTTTTTTTTTTTAAATTTGATTTTATATGCCGCCCTTCTCCGAGATCAGGGCGACTTACAGTGCGTTAAGCAATAGCCTTCATACTTTTGTATATTTTATACAAAGTCACTTATTGCCCCCACAAACTGGGTCCTCATTTAACCTACCTTAGAAAGGATGGAAGCTGAGTCAACCTTGAGCCTTGGAGAGATTCGAACCAGCAGTAAATTGCAGGCAGCTGTGTTAATAACAGGGTGCTTTAAACCACTGTAGTACCAAGCTCTTATTTTAAGTGAATAACTGCAGTGGTTCAGTTAGTAACGGGCTTGTTCAGTCAATCTGGCTTCCCCATTGAGTTTATTTATTTATTGGTTTGATTTATATGCCGCCCTTCTCCGGAGACTCAGGGTGGCTTACAATGCATTAAGCAATAGCCTTCATACTTTTGTATATACCTGCTTAGTAGGGCTTCCCCCCCCGCCCCCCCAGTGGTGTTCTTTTTTATACAAAGTCAGCTTATTGCCCCCACAATCCGGGTCCTCATTTTACCTACTTCGGAAGAATGGAAGGTTGAGTCAACCTTGAGCCTGGTGAGATTTGAACTTGCAGTAATTGCAGGCAGCTGGCAGCTAAGTACTACTTTAACAATGCTTTAGTCCTCTGCTCCACCAAGGCTCCTTCTAGTTTGCTTGTCAGAAGGGGCTGCCACAAAAAAGAGGGAGTCAAGCTATTCTCCAAAGCACCTGAGGGCAGGACAAGAAGCAATGGGTAGAAACCAGTGGTGAAATCCAATTTTTTTTACTACCGGTTCTGTGGGTGTGGCTTGGTGGGCATGGCAGGGGAAGGATACTGCAAAATCTCCATTCCCACCCCACTCCATTCGCACCCCACTCCATTCCCACCCCACTCTGGAGCCAACCAGAGGTGGTATTTGCCAGTTCTCTGAACTGCTCAAAATTTCTTCTACTAGTTCTCCAGAACCTGTCAGAACCTGCTGGATTTCACCCCAGTGAAAACTAATCAAGGAGAGAAGCAACTTAGAACTAAGGAGAAATTTCCTGATAGTGAGAACAATGAATCAGTGGAACAACTCATCTCCAGAAGTTGTGAATGCTCCAACACTGGAAGTTTTTAAGAAGATGTTGGACAACCATTTGTCTGAAGTGGTGTAGAGTTTCCTGCCTAAGCAGAGGGTTGGACTAGAAGACCTCCAAGGTCCCTTCCAACTCTGTTTTTCTATTTTATTCTAAAATGTATATATGCAACTTGCCAGCCCAGGAGTGGATTTCTCAAATGACCCACATCATATTATTGATATATTCAGTTGTTATCCCATTATTTTCTTCCACTGTCCCCAAACTAATCTACTCATCATCAAAAGCCCTTTCCAATCAGAATATTTCAAAAAGGATATGTCCGTACAGCTAAATATTCTGTAGAATCAGTTCAGGTTATTCTGCAAAAGGAAAGCCTTAATGTCAGGACTACTAATCTATGAGGAAATCTATTCCTATTTGAGCAATATGAGCCGTGGTGACACAGTGGTTAGAATGCGGTACTGCAGGCTACTTCTGCTGACTGCTAGCTGCCTCCAATTTGGCAGTTCGAATCTCACCAGGCTCAAGGTTGACTCAGCCTTCCCTCCTTCCGAGATGGGTAAAATGAGGACCTAGATTATTGGGGCAAGAGGCTGACTCTGTAAACCACTTAGAGACGGCTGTAAAGCACTGTGAAGCAGTATATAAATCTAAGTGCTCTTGCTATTTGTAGATGTAGACTTTCACTCTCCACCCTGTTCCTACCATTATGCAAGAGCATTAGGAATACATTATTAATATTACATCCCGCTTAGCATTCACATGCCTTTAGGGCCATGTTAAGTCTAATTAGCTGTTGCATTAAGTTAAATTATTGTTTTGTTAATGACCGGCATCAAATGGATAATATGTGAAAATCTATTCTCCAGTAGGAGAATAGTGATCCATCGCACAATACGATTGTACTCCTTCCAACTTGCAAGTTACTACCTGTGCAGCCACATTCTGCACCAATTGAAGTTTCCAAATACTCTTCAGGGGCAGCCCTATATAGAGCGTGTTACAGTAGCCTAAATCAGAAATTACAAGGGCATAGGGAGCAGAGTCTCCCATTCCAAGAATGGATGCAAGTGGTACATCAGCTGAAGGTGTGTAAGGCTCTCTTAGCCATGGCTTCCGAGGTGGGTTTCAACAGGTTCTGACCAGTTCTGGCAAACCGGTAGCGGAAATTTTGAGTAGTTTGGAGAACTGGTAAATACCATCTCTGACTGGCCCCGCTCCCATCTATTCTCTGCCTCCTGAGTCCCAGCTGATCGGGAGGAAATGGGGATTTTGCAGTAACCTTCCCCTGGAGTGGGGAGGGAATGGAGATTTTACAGCATTATTCCCCTTCCATGCCCACCAAAGCCATGCACGCCCACCAAGCCACGCCCACAGAACTGCTAGTTATAAAAATTGAATCCCACCTTGCATGGCTTCTACCTGCTCATCCAAGAAACGTCTTCAGCTCTGACAGGATAGTCGGGATAATGGGGAATGGAAGTATTTGTATTCCTTGCAGACAGTTGGTCATTTGCATCCTTTTAGAGCAAGGGTGTCAAACTCAAGTCCCGGGGCTGGATCCGGCCTGCAGGGCCACCCTGGAAATAGCGAAGGACCGGCCCGTGGTGCCTCTGCCATCGAAAACAGAGTTCCCAAGCTCCTTTTTTGCTTGCAGAGGGTTACAGGAGGCCTTTGCAGCTGAAAATGGAGCTCAGGAGCCCGTTTTTGCTGGCAGAACGCTCCGGCCACCACAGGTGCCCCCGACATGAGTGACGTTGAGCTAGCCATGCCCACCCTGCCTCCTGCCCCCCCCCAAGGTCAAACACAACCCTGAAGCAGCCCTCAATGAAATTGAGTTTGACACCCCTGTTTTAGAGAGTTGTTGAGGCACTTGGAGGTTTATCTGTGTCCTCAGGGTCACCTGAGTGATGCTTCTGGTTCCAAAGGATGAAAATCCAAGTCCAATTGCCTCCTGAAAAAGCACCTTTGGGACAACCATGACCTGGAAGACTGAGAATCTCTACAGATTTTTAAATAAAGTGTTGTAAGTCAAGGACTACACTACATTTCTATGCATAAAGAAACAGCATGCAAAAACACACTGTTATACATGCCCTCACAACAAAGTGGTGTTTTTCAGATGTTTTTGCTAACCGGGGAGCCCTATCTCATAAACTTTTCTTCATTGCAACAGAGCTGAGCATTATCTAACTAAGACGAGTAAAGAATCACAACTCTTACTATCAAAATCCATCAGTTTCAGAGGTGGGGTTCTGGAGAACCAGTAGCAGAAATTTTGAGTATTTGGAGAACCGGTAGTAAAAATTCTGACTAGCCCCGCCCCCATCTATATTCTTGGCCTCTCAAGTCCCAGCTGATCGGGAGGAAATGGGGATTTTGCAGTATCCTTCCCCTGGATTGGGGAGGGAATGGAGATTTTATAGTATCTTTCCCCTACCATGCCCACCAAGCCACACCCACCAAGCCATGCCATGCCACGCCCACCAAGCCACGCCCACAGAACCGGTAGAAAAAAAAATTGAAGCCCACCACTGATCAGTTTATTTATTTTATTTATTTATTTATTAATCAAATTTCTATACCGCCCTACTCCCGGAGGACTCAGGGCAGTGAACAGCCAAGATAAAATACAGATAATACAAACATTAAAAGTCTCTTAAAATTATTAAATATTTTGGCCGAAACACAGATTAAAACACCCAATTTATAAAAATCAAACGAATTAAAAATTTAAAAGAGGAGAGTTAGGCCAGGCTAGCCTGCTGAAATAAAAAAGTTTTGGGAGCACGACGAAACGTGCGCAGATCCGGGATCCTCCGTATCTCTGGGGGGAGCTCGTTCCAGATGGTAGGTGCCCCCACAGAGAAGGCTCTCCCCCCTGGGGGCCGCCAGTCGACACTGTTTGGCCGACGGCACCCGGAGGAGCCCCTCTCTATGGGAGCGTACTGGTCAGTGAGAGGCTATTGGTGGCAGAAGGTGGTCTCATAAATACCCCGGTCCGATGCCATGGAGTGCTCTAAAGGTGGTAACCAAAACCTTGAAGCGCACCCGGAAGACCACCGGGAGCCAGTGCAGCTAACGCAGGAGGGGGGTCACATGGGAGCTCACTTAACAATGGTCCTGTTGAGTGATGAAAATTTGGGGCTCCATTAAAGTCGTAAGTCGACTCTACTACTATTTTCTTTCCACTACATTTAGCATTAAAGGGAATGAAGGGGAGGAATTATGGAAAGAGTTGGTGTTTGATGTGGATATCTCATTTAGGTGAGAGAGTAGAGTAGAGTAGAGTAGAGTAGAGTAGAGTAGAGTAGAGTAGAATAGAGTAGAATAGAATACAATAGAATAGAATAGAATAGAATAGAACAGAACAGAACAGAACAGAACAGAACAGAACAACGGAACGGAACGGAACGGAACGGAACGGAACAGAACAGAACAGAACAGAACAGAACAGAACAGAACAGAACAGAAGAGTTGGAAGGGACTTTGGAGGTCTTCTAGTCCAACCCCTGCTTCAGCAGGAAACCCTATATACCATGTCACACAAATCATTGTCCAATCTCTTCTTAAAAACTTCCAGTGTTGGAGAATTCACAACTTCCGGGGGCAAGCTGTTCCACTGGTTAATTGTTCTAATCTTGATCATTCTGTTATCTTAAGCATGAGCAAACTAAATTGCTTCATACAACTTGGCAACAGCTGTTGGAAGAGTTTCAACACAACGGGTGGCATGGGAAAGGTGTGGGTAAATCCGGCGTGTTTAGCGTAACATTGAATTCCCAAACCTTTGCAGCACAATGAGATGCATCCCGATGCATTTTTCAATTGATTGGGAATTATGTCACAAGTGCTGCAGATAATGACAGGAGGAGTTGTAAGTAGATGGAGCAGCTTTGAAAAAGCAGAAGAACCAGAAAAGTTTTAACGCATTATAAGCCGCCCTGAGTCTCCGGAGAAGGGCGGCATATAAATCAAATTAAAAATAAATAAATAAATAAATAAGTGATGCTCTTCACAGAAAAACAGAGTTGGATGGGACCTTGGAGGTCTTCTGCTCAACTTCCTGTTCAGGAAGGAAACCCTGTACTATTTCAGACAAATGGTTGTCCAACTTCTTAAAAACTTCCAGTTTTGGAGCATTCTCAAGTTCTGGAGGCAAGTTGTTCCACTGGTTAATTGTTCTCACTGTCAGGAAATTTCTCCTTAATTGTGGGTTGCTTCTCTCCTTGGATAGTCTCCACTCCATTGCTTCTTGTCTTGCCTTCAGGTGCTTTGGAGAATAGGTTGACACCCCCACCCCTCCTCTTTGTGACAGCTCCTCAAATATTGAAACACGGCTATCATGTCACTCCCTAGTCTTTTTTCTGCTCTTCTCTGTACATAATCTCCAGTCTGTGAAGCTTAAACCATTAGCATTTCTTGGTTTGTATATAGTGCTTTTTTAAAACAATGATGGGTAGTTTTTGGAACTTTTAGTGTCACGAGACATTTTTTAATCTAGCAAACACATTTGCTCTTTGAGAAGGATGGTCAGTGACCTCCTCCTCCTGTCAGCACTTCAACCTGCATTTACTCTAGTGCTGACATAAGAAGGAGAAGCGAAGGCATCTAGAAAGGGACGTTTGACTTTTCACCTACTTATTTTCCCTGGAGATAATATCCCCTAGGAGATGGGATGGGAGGGGGGAAATTCCTTTGAGCTGGAGCGGTAGATTAGGGGTAGAATGACTTGGGAGATGGCCAATGAGTGCAGGGGAATGGGGAACGGAAAGGGAGGGTTTTGGGTCTGGAAGTCAGTGTTGGCTTCTATGAAGTCAGATCTAGAATGTCGTGCTTAATAAATAGGAGTCAAAGACTTTGTTTGAAATGCAATTTATTTGAGACGACCTCGAAACCTGACACCTCCTTCATCTCTTCCTCCTCCTCCTCCCTCTCCTCCTCCTCCTCTTCCTTCCCCTCCTCCCCCTCCCCCTCTTCCTCCTCTTCCTCCCTCTCCTCCTCCTCCTCTTCCTCTTCCTTCCCCTCCTCCTCTTTCTCCTCCTCCTCTTCCTCTTCCTTCCTTTCTTCCTCCTCCACCTCTTCCTCCTCCTCTTCCTTCCCCTCCTCCTCCTCCTCCTTTTCCTTTCCCTCCTCCCCTCCTCCTCCTCCTCTTCCTTCCCCTCCTCCTTCTCCTCTTCCTTCTCCTCCTCCCCCTCCTCCCCCTTGGCATAGAAGCTGCAATGCTTGTTTTGATTACGTGACTTCCAGCGTGTGTCATCACTAATTTCTCCCTCCTTCTTTCTCCAACCTTGCAGTCAGAAACACGTAAACTAGCTAAAAAGTGTAACTGGACTGTGCACCAGGTGGAAAAATGGTTCAGGCGAAGACGCAACCTAGAAATCCCAACTCTGCATAAAAAATTCAAGGAAGCTTGGTAAGAAAAGAGCCCACTCGCCTCCATTCTCGGTTTCTAAAAAATAAAATAAAATAAAAAAATCATCTCAGATAGAAAAATAGCCAGAAATTTGACATTTAATGGCTTCCTGGGTATTGTGTAACCAGATATTTCCTTTCTTGTCAGTCAACATAAATAAATAATATCGAACTACCTATCTCAGGTCCTTGGGATGGACGATAGGTGGATAAATGTGTCAAATTCAGTCTAAACATCTGGCTAATTCTGCAACTAATTATAATACTAATATAACTGTTATCCTGTTATCAATGAGCCTTGTCTTGCATATATTCTCCAGAAACACTGATTACATTACCTTACAGTTTAGATTGCAAAATTGCAGTCGCCATCTTAACTTTTTAATCCTCTCCAGCCAATCTTGTATTGTACTGAAGCTGTAGCTTGAGTTTCCAAAGGCAGTTTTTACTCCGTCTGAATATGAGGATTAGAAATTAATTTATTCTTCTGTTCTAATTATTTCCATATTCTGTGCTTCCTCTTGAGTGTGTGTGTGTGTGTTAATAAATGCCAATTTATTCCTGTAATGAAGTGACATAACCATTTAAAGCTTGAGGGGTCTTTTGGTGCTCTCTGAGCTTGGTTGTTTTCTTGCAGACGTTTCATTTCCTAAACTAGATAACATCATCAGTACTACTTAGTTAGCTGCCTAGCTAGCACTGATGATGCTAACCAGGGGTGGGCTTCAAAAATTTTAGAGGGGTTTTCTGCCCGGTTGCTGGGTGGGTGTGGCCATGGTGTGTGAGTGGCTTAGTCGGTCTCCTGCACCACGGGCGTTTTCGGATGAGCGTTTTTGCCCTCCCCAGGCTCCAGAGGCTTTCCTCGAGCCTCTGGGAGGGCGAAAACAGCCTACCCAGGCTCTGGAGCAGTGGTGGGTTCCTCCCGGTTCGGTCTCGGTTCGGCCGAACCAGTAGCGGTAGCGGTGACAATATGATGACATCACCGAACCGGTTCTCCCCCCCCCTGCCCTCCCACCCCCCACGTTATTCTTCCCTTTTATTTGGTCCCACCCCCAATTTATTGCTGCCTCCTGAGTCCCAGCTGATGACTAGAGGGAAATAAACTGTTTAAACTCTTGCCGTGGGGCTTCAAAGGGCCGTCCTACAGCTGATCAGTGTTAAAAGCAAACAAATGAGTCGGGTCGTATGTGCGAGGACTGGTCGTAAGTGCGAGGACCTTCCAGAAATGACTCTGACCAGCTAGCCACGCCCACCTAGTCACATGACCTCTAAGCCACACCCACAAAATAAGCCACTCCCACAGAACCAGTGGTAAAAAAATTTAGAACCCACCCCTGATCAGTACTACTTAGTTAGCTGCCTAGCTAGCACTGATGATGCTAACCAGGGGTGGGCTTCAAAAATTTTAGGGAGGGGTTTTCTGCCCGCTTGCTGGGTGGGTGTGGCCATGGTGAGTGTGGCCTAGTCGGTCTCCTGCACCACGGGCGTTTTTGGATGGGCGTTTTTGCCCTCCCCGGGCTCTAGAGGCTTTCCTCGAGCCTCTGGGAGGGCAAAAACAGCCTCCCCAGGCTCTGGAGGCCCTCTGGAGGTCTTCCCAAACTTCCGATAAGCCCGTTTTTCACCCTCCCTGAGCCTCCGCACGTGCCCTGCACTTACCTGCATCCAAAATGGGCCGCGTGGGGACTCCTGGGAGGGGCGGGGTGGGGTGGGCAGGGCCAGCCAAGAGTGGGATTTGGGGGTTCTCCGAATGGCACAGAATCTTAGCTAGAGGTTCTCCCGAACCCCTGCGAATCCCCAGCAGCCCCACCCCGGATGCTAACTAGTTTGGGGAATGAAATGTCTGCAAGAAAACAACCAAGCTCAGAGAGCACCACGGACCCCCACATTTCAACCCTGAGCTATAAATATTCTCTGTGAGTACTCTGACTTATTTTGCACTTAGACTGAAAAGTGGCTCAAATCACTGTAAATAATAATGACGAGGCAAATTAATGCAGGAAGAAAGAGATGGGTAAACGGGCAGTACTACTTTCCTAGCTATGGTGAGAAGACCATCTTCTTCTGTGTCCATGTAAACTCCTTGGTCCTAACATTCATTTTATTTTTACAGTTGGCGATGTTTATTCTACAGTACCTCATTTATTGCTGGAATTATATTTCTCTGTGACGTAAGTTAAATATGGGGCCGGGAGGGAGGGAGGACTCCAGTGGTAACATGGCCTAATCTGAGGTTGTTTTTTAACAGCAGCTTCCCATGAGTTGTTAAACTTGGTTTAATATAAAGATAGAAGTAATCTTCCCGCAAAAGAGGAGAAGCTAAACGTCTGCTGTTATTATCCAGATAGAGTCATTGTGATCATCGAGAATTTATAATTTTGAGGGGAGGTTTTGTTTCATTTTTGTTTGAAGAATTAAAATTAAGAGAATTAAATCAGACGAGGCATTAAGCAGGAATAGAGCCTGTAGTACAGTGGATTAAAGCACTGTTATTAACATCTGCTGCTTGCAATTACTGCAAGTTCAAATCTCACCAGGCTCAAGGTTGACTCAGCCTTCCATCCTTTCAAAGGTAGGTAAAATGAGGACCCAGATTGTGGGGGGCAATAAGCTGGCTTTGTATAAATATTGTATAAATATACAAAAGTATGAAGGCTATTGCTTAACGCATTGTAAGCCGCCCTGAGTCTCCGGAGAAGGGCGGCATATAAATTAAAGCAAAAAGAAAAAAATAGTATCCGCACATTTGCACCGTAAGAAAATGAACTGGGCAGGGGTGAAATGCTCCCGGATCGGACCAGATTGCCCAATCCGGTACCGATTTTTCCCTGTGGTTCGGCGATCCGGTAGCGATTGCTGCCCAGGTGTCATTACTTCCTGGTTTTAACCAGGAAGTAATGTTTTTTTACCTTCTGCGCAAGTGTGCGCGCGTAGCACTTGCGCTTCTAAATTGGTAAGGAAGGTAAGTAGATTTCATCCCTGGAACTGGGAGGGAAGAATGTTTTGACCTCCGTGGTCCTGTAAGTCCATAATTCTTAATGATATAGATTTCTTGCAGCCCAGCTGCAATTTTCTTGGCAGCTTTATCACAACAGCTTGCCAACACTATGACAAATTGGAGGTTACACCAAGTTCTGCATGATCTCCAGGGGTGGAATTCACTTACTTTCCCTACCGGTTTGCAAATGTGAGTGTGCAAGCCCCGCCCACACATGCGCCCGGTCTTCTGCGCATGTGCTATGCTGGTTCGTGCACCGTCCACACGCATGCGCCTGGCCTCAAAAACATGCCTAAATAATATGGCATAGAGCGGGAAGGGGGATTGGGGGGCAGGGGGGCGGTTCCATCTGCAATTTCCGCTACCGGTTCAGACAAACCGGTTCAAACCGGCTGAATATCAACTCTGATTCTCTCATTAGGGACCCCCTTGACTAAACGTCCACCCTCAGACATGGAAACTCCTGGTGTGATCTTGGGCCAGCCACTCATTCTCAGCCCCATCTGTACAATCTACCTCAAAGGCCTGTTGTGGGGATTAAAAATTAAAGGGGAGACCCATGGAAGCGACTTGGGCTTCTGACGGGCAGGTGGGAAAGCAAACTAACAAGTCAATAACAAATAAATGACTCCTATTAAAAATGCTAATGGAAAGGTTCTGTGATGGAACAGCCTCCAAAAAGAATCTCGGCTTTGCCCATATTGTAGGGCAGGGGTCGGCAACCTTAAACACTCAAAGAGCCACAAAGGTCCTAATTGGAAGCCCCCATTCAATTCTGGAGCTGACCGCAAGTCGAGTTCCCCCATCATAATCTCCTCCTAGCACGGTGTCTTTTTTCCTCTGCTGACTGGAAGTTGGTTCCCCCACCATAGAGTCTCCTCCTAGCGCAGCATCCTTTTTCCTCTACCTGTCCTAACCAAAAGCCCTATCAATTGTGGAGCCGACCAGCAACACGGAGCCGCAGCAGAGGGATGAAAGAGCCACATGCGGCTCCAGAGCCACGGGTTGCCGACCCCTGTTGTAGGGCCTTCAAAACCAAGAAAAGATTTTTTTTTTCTTTTAATTTTTAAAACTTATTTTTCAATTTCTCAGGATCTTTAGTATCAAAACACTTGTTCAGTTCTTTGGGGCATTCTCGGGATATTAATCTATCAGTTCAGTCCTGCTACAGCTCTATTATACTCATTTCATGTCCCTCTGCTAATTCTCAACCCCTTTAGCTTTTACAGTTTAATGAATCTTGTTTTGCATTACCCTCTTATTATTTTAAACCTTGCAAAGATCACCTAGCATCGTGTTATATTGTAGACGGATAGACCTGTCCGAAAGAAAGCCTGACTTGCTTGCTGTTAACATGCTTCTCCTTTTGGAGACCCACTTGTGAATGACTCATTTCACATCCAGTTTTGCACTTTCTGGATATGTTACAGGGCATGGTTACTCTGCATGCCAGATTCACAGAGATTGCTTGGATAAGTTCTACAGCTTTTTGTGGTTTTCCAGAAGTAGTTTACAATTCTTAGGGCTGAGAGAAGATAACAGGCCCAATATCACCCAGTTGGCTTTGTGCCTAAGGCAAGATTATAATCTCCTGGTTTCTAGCCTGATGCCTTAATCTCTACATCGAACTGGCTCTTTTGTTTTGTAAAATAAACAAACATACATACACTTTAAGCACAATGTTCTGTATGACTATTCTGATGTCCACGTGACTGCATTCAGTAAGGCTTTATTGCAGTCAAGTTGGCACAGAGCTGGCACTTTGATTTATGATTGAGAGTTGCCTCTTGGTATCTATGTCAGAGGTGGGTTTCAGCAGGTTCTGACCAGTTCTGCAGAACCGGTAGCGGAAATTTTGAGTAGTTTGGAGAATCGGTAAATACCACCTCTGACTGGCTCCGCCCCCATCTATTCTCTGCCTCCTGAATCCCAGCTGATTGGGAGGAAATGGGGATTTTGCAGTATCCTTCCCCTGCCACGCCCACCAAGCCATACCACACCCACAGAACCAGTAGTAAAAATTTTTGAAACCCACCACTGATCTACATGTGTTCTGATCCAGCCTTAGCAGAAACAAGAAACAGACTCCTTGTCACGAAAAACCCCTCTTTATTTATCTCCTGTGAATTAATGGCATTCATACACCGAAAAGTCCAGGCAAGAGTCCTTCAAAGAGTTAATTGCAGTAAAAGACCTTATCAGCTCCTTGCGATAATTGCCAGGCTGTGAGCTCCCAGCCGCAAAGCTGAAAATTAAGTTCTGGCAAGCAGTCTTTGTGGCACGAAACACAATGAGCAAAATCCTCAGAAATACGAACAGTTGTCTCCTACGACCACCACTCCCCTTTCCTTTTATTTATTCCCCAGCCGGGGAGGGGCCATTCAGCGTCCACATGTGCCTTACTTCCCAAGTTGACTCGTTGTCCTCAGTTGTTCTCCTCTCCTAACAGCTCTGAGCATACGTGCATCTGGAATAGGCCCCAGCTGCTCTTCCTCCCCACTTATCTCAGCCTTCAAAGGCAGCTGCCTCTCCGGTGGCTGGGAAATGTCGGACGGCCCTGGCTCTATCTTTGCATCTGATGTAGAGCATCCATTAGAGCCTTCCCCGGACTCCAGAGCTGGCCCAAGTTCCTCCCCAACCTCCTCATCGTCCAAGTCTGCCGCCAGCTCCACTGACAGCTGGCGGGCCATAACATGTTTAAGCCACAAAGTACTCTGCAGGATCCAATATGAGTTGTTCATCAGGACCAGAGGTTTAGTCTTCCAAGCTTTCGGACTTGGGACTTCTCTCTACTGGAACGTGTGAGAAGTTCCCTGACGATGGGCTCCAGCATAAGTCCAAATACTTTAGAAGACTAAACCACTGGTCCTGCAACATTATCCTGAGGCATATATATATATATGCCTTCATTCCAAAGTACTTTGTGTGTGGTTTTCTCAGTTACCCTTAAGACTCTGGTCATAGCCATCTCCAATTTGGACCTGCCAAAAATGGAGAAGGGTGAAGATCCTTAAAGTGGGCCAGGAACATACAAGTCCCAATGCCAGAATCATAGAGTTGGGGAGGGCATCAATCCATCTTCAGCCAAGGTATCTTACTAAATGACTTTCGAGCAGTCACTATCTCTCTGCCCAACCTACTTCACAGGGTTAGTTGCGAAGAAGAAAGGTGCACTACAATCTGAAGGTTTTTGACTTTCAGCTCCATCCTGTGATGGCCACCATCTTGGGCAAAGCTGTTGTAGAAGACAGGCCAGTAGGGTTACCCTGATGAGCAGCAAAAAGAAATAATGCCTAACCCCCCAAATTAAGTAGTGAGTTTGTGGCAGGGATGAGATTTGCACTGTTGTCATGTGGAAACATTGATGATTGTTGTCTGTCTCCTCCTGCATTCCTTCTAGAAATCCTGGTTTTATGACCTTTGGCAAGTGTGGCTCAACTATCCAAACCATGTGAGTCTCTTACTGGTACTTTGGCGATACCACTGTTGACGTTGTGTGAAGAAAAATTCCTGCCTTCATTTTTGATTGGCCCATGAATAGCTTTTTTCACCATTTGGGATTGCAGATTCCAGTAGCATAGGGTTCCCTTGGGAATTCATTTCATGGTAAATGAAGCGTTTTCATGTTGTCATGAGATGCTACCGTGATGAAACAAATAAGAATCAGCAGACCACAAACAGTGTCCTAGCTTCAATATGCATCATTAGGAATGATTATTGCTAACAGTATAGCTAGTATTAATAGAATACACCATATTAGATGTATTAGGTTATGTTTGCTTCCTTGAGTAATATAAGTAGCCTCAATTTACAATGACGGACCTACCAGGTCCATCCTGGCTACAGGTAGAACTCAAAGGCTTTTTGGTGATAAATCTTCTTAACTGGAACTTAATTGCATAGTCCTGATGCTTCGTGAGATTAATATCAGGTGTGATGAATCAGGACTATGCTTTAAGTTCCAGTTAAGAAGATTTATTGCTCATTCCTATAAGCAAGAATCTAGTCAACTAAAAGTCAGCATTAAATTGATGCTAGTTAAGAGTTAGTGAGATTCAAGAAGGGCTGGATTTGGACTGCTTGTGGGAATGTATTGACTCCAGACTAATTCCTCTCTTGACTCCATTCCCCAGGCTCTGCTCTTCTTCTAGTTTTTATTGCTCCAATCCTGGTTCCATTAGAATAGAATAGAATAGAATAGAATAGAATAGAATAGAATAGAATAGGGTAGGGTAGGGTAGGGTAGGGTAGGGTAGGGTAGGGTAGGGTAGGGTAGGGTAGGGTAGGTAGGGTCAGGGCCGGATTTTCCTATAGGCTAACTAGGCTTCAGCCTAGGGCCTCAAGATCAAGAGGGGCCTACATTCCCTACATTCAAATTGTTAGCAAAATTAAAATTACACTTTCACTGTAGGTGAAAGGGCCTCATAAGTGGAATAGCCTAGGGCCTCTTTGCATCTAAATCCGGCCCTGGGTAGGGTAGGGTAGGGTAGGGTAGAGTAGAGTAGAGTAGAGTAGAGTAGAGTAGAGTAGAGTAGAGTAGGAATTCTTTATTGGCCAAGTGTGATTGGACACAAGGAACTTGTCTCCGATACATAAGCTCTCAGTGTACATAAAAGCAACAAGTGATAAATCATGATCATAATCCTAAAATACAATCATCATAAATCGTAATACTCAATGATAGTCATAGGATACTAAATAAGCAATCAATATATTTCATAATAGGATACTATATAAAAGCCAGGTTCAGACGAGAGGGCGCATGCTCCCTTTCCAGCACTCGGTGCTGAAAAGGTTCACCATCACTGAGCCAAGGGATTAGTTAATAGGAAAGATGAGAAGGATAATAGTACAGTAATACAGCCCTACCACATGATTTGACATCCCAGGGCATAAAACATGTGGTGGGAATTAGTTGTTTAGCAGTGATGTCACGGGGGGTGGGGGGAAGCTTTTGTTTTGTTCTTTTGGTATGCAATGTCCTATTGTCAACCTTTTTTCTCCTGCTCTGGAACAAATGTACTCCCTCTCTAACCAAAAAAGTAATTGCCTTTTCTCTTCTCATACGCTCTTTGCAGGCCATGCTCCCTTCCCAGTATTGGTACTACATGCTCCAGATGAGCTTCTATTGGTCATTGCTCTTTACTCTTGGAACCGACACTAAAAGGAAGGTAAGGAAGATTGACAACGTCATCGGTTTGGGAATGGGATGCAAGCTATTCTTAGTTCCTGGTTTCCCGGATGCTAGATAACTGTCAGGGCGACAAATATATAGCAGATTGAAATGCTCCCGGTTCGGACCTGTTCAACTGATCCGGTAGCGATCATGGTGGGTGGTTCAGAGAACCAGTAGCGATGGCGGCATGAGGCTCCACCCACCTGCCCAGAAAGTTTTGCGCATGCACAGAGGGTCTGCGACACGTGCGTTTCCGAACCGGTAAGGAAGGTAAGTAGATTTCACCCCTGGATTGAATCCTTCGTAACTCTAAATGTAAAAGCCATTCTTACTCTGAAATTCGGAGTGGCTCAGATTATTTGCAGCATTGAAGTTGGGCACCACTAAAAAAGTCACAATCAGTTAAGGTTTACTCAGGTTTACTCAGTTATCTTCCAAACAACCTTAAGTCTTTTTTCTTGTTATTCTCTCATGCGTGTAAAGTTGGCTTGCCTCCAAATTAAGCTAGACCCTCCCGCCCTTGTCCATTTCAGATGTTTCCTTGCAGAATATCTTTTACTACTGCTCATTTCTTACTCATCCAAGTCAGGGGTGGGTTCTACTTACCTTTACTACCGGTTTGCAATGGGAGCGTGCACGCATGCTTCAGCGCATGTGCAGATCATACCTTATGACATCCGGGCGGGTGGGCAGAGCCTCCCACTGCTTTTACTACCGGTTCTCAAGAACCGGACAGAACCGGGAGCAACCCACCACTGATCCAAGTAACGTACACCATTTCCCATCATTATTTTTCCACCAAGATTCAAAAAGAACAGGTCTTTATATCTACAGTATGCGACTTGCTAGGGGTACGATGGCTCAGCCGTTAAAAGATGCTGAGCTTGTTAGCTGGAAAGGGGACAGCCCGGGTTCGAAACCCAAGGCCTGCATGACAGGGTGAAAGTCTGATACTCGTCTCAGCTCCTGCCCATCTAGCAGTTCGAAACCATGTGCAAATGTGAGTAGATAAATAGTTACCATTTTGGTGGGAAGGTAACAGCATTCTGTGCGCCTCGGTGTATAGTCAAGCTGGCTACACAACCAGGGTTGAAATGCTCCTGGTTTGGACCGGTTCGGCCGAACCGGTAGCGATGGCAGCCAGAGGTTCGGAGAACCAATAGCAGTGGTGGCGTGAGGCTCCACCCACCTGCCCAGTCGTTACTTCCTAGTTTTAACCAGGAAGTAACCTGTTTTTTTTCCTTCTGCACATGCGCAGAAGGGTTTGCACATGCGCAGAGGATCCAAGTGCGCATGTGCACTTCTGAACCAGTTGGGAAGGTAAGTAGATTTCACCCCTGCACACAACCCAGTTGAGGACCCAGTTGTGGGGGCAATAAGCTGACTTTGTATAAATATACAAAAGGATGAAGGCTATTGCTTAACGCATTGTAAGCCGCCCTGAGTCTTCGGAGAAGGGCGGCATATAAATCAAAATTAAAAAAAAAAAAACCCATAGAAATGTCTTTGAACAATACTGGCTGCCTTGGCCAAGAAACAGAGATGATGAGCATTGCCCCCTAGAGTTGGACATGACCTGACAGGGGAAGCCTTTACCTTTTGTGGCCAGAGTTCGCCAACCTCTGGTCTGTGGACCAACCCCAGTCCGTGTTATGCCAGCAACCAGACTGCGCAAACAAGCAAAGCCTCATCCGTGGGATGCAGGCAGCACACGAAACCACGCCCCTTCCGGTCCGCTGGAAAACCTCTCTCCATGAAACCAGTCCCTGGGACTGTTGTTTTACAGCTTTGAAGCAGTTAAGTAGATGAGTTCTTTATTTTTATCTACTCATTCAGAATCCTTCTGGGCACATGAGTTTTGGTACCTCCACCCTAATTTTCCTAAGACAGAGCCATCACTCTCCATCTTCCAAAAATCGTCTTGGCTTTGAGAAGTCAATTTCTCTATTTCTTTTTCTCAGGATTTCATGGCCCACGTGGTGCATCATTTTGCCGCCCTTGGCTTGATGTTCTGTTCCTATAGTGCCAATTACCTCCGTCTTGGAACCCTGGTGATGATCGTCCACGATTCTGCAGATATCTGGCTGGAGGTAAATCTCAGCATCTGTCTGTGCTTGTGCTTAGTTACACAAGTCACGGGATTTCGTTAGTGTTGTTTTGCATCCATTGTGGTATCTGGAGGAGTTTTGTATAAGCCCTGAGCCTAAATGATAAGCTATCCTATCAAGGCCTGACATGAAACATTGGTTCATTTCATCCGGAAAAAGCACACCTGGTGGTCTTCCATCCAAAAAGAAACTATGTCCTAACTCAGCTCATTTCCCCCCTTCTCCCCACAACAGTCAAGGTTGTCTCTCAGTGTTGCTGCCGAGCTGAACAGCAACTTTGGGACCAGTTCTATGAACATAAATCTTCAAGACTCTGCCTTATTATTGGGAAGCAGTGTTACATCTTACAGGCCAATCGCTGTAATTGAGATATAAATATAGTACTTTTTGTCCATGACAGCTACCAGCTAGCAATGTTTTTGGACCAAATGTCCAACATAACATTTATTTCCTCAAAGGCATCCCTTCCCAAAGTGATGAAGATGGGGAAACAATGGATTCCTCTTTAATTAGGGGTGAGAGGGAATGTATATGTATCTTGGTGTGCATATATATATATATATAGTCCGCTGTCAGGGTTCCGACGAATGTGCTAATTAAATCATGAGCCTCAAACCAAGCTTCAAAAGAAATCCAGTTAATTATTAAGAGCTTTGTGTCAGCACGTTCCAAGTGAAACCAACTCTGGCCCCACATAATTTACGCCCGAATCATGACCCTGTTTCCCCCCAGGGTGTGTCATCAATCACATTCGTCAGCGGAGCAATTTTGTGGGTTGTAGAGATCACTTCTCTACGGGGCGCTGTGGGTAACCCTGGGAGACAGCCTTGAGAGAAATATGTCTGGAATGTGCTTCTGTTTTTGGCTGCAATCCTGCTTCATTGGTTTCCCATCCCCCTTGCCTATGGGAACAGGCCAGGCATGCTTTGCGAGTTGACAGTCCATGATATATTTATTGCAATAGATTTATATTTATCAAAGACCTTTTTTTTTTTTACAGAGTAAAAATAATATAAATTTAAAGAAGGAAAAGAAAAGTAAAGAAAATTATACGATTGAGAAATAAAGGGGAAAACAAAGAAAAGATATAAAGAAGTCACTTCCAACCTTTGCTAGAGCTGTTATGAAGGCATTTATATTTTATCCTGAGAAGGAATTTCACTGCCACAACAGCTGATTCCTTTTCAGGAGACCATTCCAAGGTGGTAACTTCTCCCAATTGTTCAATTTCAGGCCGCAAAGATGTTCAACTACGCTCGCTGGGACAATACCTGCAGTGTTCTGTTTGTCATTTTCGCAGTGGTGTTCTTTATCACGCGACTCATTCTCTTTCCATGTTGGTAAGTTGGGTTCTGGATTGTTCGGCTTGAAAAATGTGATGTCAGGGTTCCGACGGATGCCGTAATTAAATCATGAGCCTCGAGCCCAGCTTCAAAAGAAATCCAGTTATTTATTAGGAGCTTCATGTCAGCACGTTCCCAAGTGAAGCCAGCTCTGATCCTACATAATTTACGCCCTGATCATGACCCTGTTTCCCACCTCCCCCCAGGGTGTGACATGAATCACATTCACCAACGGAGCAATTTCGCGAGTTGTAGAGATCACTCCCCTCCTCCCGCTGTGGGTGACCCTGCGATATAGCCTTGAGAGAGATAAGTCTGGAATGTGCGTCTGTCTTTGGCTACCATACCGTTTCGTCGGTTTCCCATCCCCCCTTGCTTATGGCAACTCGAGAGCAGGCCAGGGATGCTTTGCGAGTTGACATGTGACCTCTGGGTGCTGCACCTGCTCTCAGCAAACACCTGAAAAACAAAGGACTCTCTGGATATTTTTAGGCTGGATGCCAAACGTGACTCGTGTTTGCCAAACATATTCATAACCTACATGAATATTTATGCTTTAATTTAGGGTAGGAGAAATAACAGCTAATAATCCAACTGTGTTTTTTTCCCCCTCTTGTTTTCCTAACAGGATTTTACGGGCCTCGATATATTATCCTGTGTTTTATACCCAGACGCTTGTCATCGCATATTTTGTATACAATGGGCAGCTATTGATCCTGCAGGGTCTCCACCTCTATTGGGCCTACTTGGTTTTCAAGATTCTGAAGAAATTCATTTTTGTGAAGGTAAGGGTGGACTTCAGGATCCTTCTAATGGAAGCCAGTCATGGCTATGTTCTGCTAGAACCGAGGGTTATATCGTCCTTCCTAAGCTGAAGTTCCCCTTCCTAAATTCACAAGGTCAGAACTGAGGAAACTTCTTGGATGAGAAGTGAGATGTCTTCGATTAGCGAAAACGTTATGCTCAAGGAAGGGAAAGAAGCAACTATTACTGCTATTTTGAAACTGGAAATCACAAGGGAAAACAAAAATTGGGCAATCCGTTTGAGCTGGTGAACTCAGGATAGATTGGGTTTCAACTCCACTTCATGGTTGTCCTAAAGGTGCTTTTTCCAAAGGCAACTGGACTTCGTTTTTCCTTGAAGACGTTTCGCTCCTCATCCAAGAGGATGAGGAGCGAAACGTCTTCAAGGAAAAACAAAGGAAGTCCACCGGCTTTTTAAAAAAACACCTTTCGGGCAACCATGACCTGGATGACTGCGAATCTCCCTAGAGAAAACAGAAATGGACACGTTGGGAAACATGCATCCTGCATTGTGTATTAAGCCACATTGATTCAGACTCGAGCTGCTTCCTATATGCTAGGATTGAGAAGCCATTGTTTTATGGCTTCAAATGAAGACCATAACTCAGGGGTGAAATCCAGCAGGTTCTGACAGGTTCTGGAGAACCTTTAGTGGAAATTTTGAGTAGTTTGGAGAACCGGCAAATGCCACCTCTGGCTGGCCCAAGAGTGCGGTAGGAATGGAGATTTTGCAATATCCTTCTCCCAGGAGCGGGGTAGGAATGGAGATTTTGCAGTATCCTTCCCCTGCCATGCCCAGCAAGCCAAGCCAAGCCACGCCCATCAAGCCACGTCCACAGACCCGGTAGTAAAATAATTTGGATTACACCACTGCCATAACTACAAACCACAATTTAGGGTGTCAAATCTTCAAGGCCAAACATTTAAGTCTGAATTCAAGAAAGGAGCAGAAAAATTGCCTTTCCCTGGGCCAATCCATCATCTAGCATCTTGCATGTTGGTTGTTGTTTATTTTACAATCAGTTACCCTTTCCAGGTGCTCAGGATTCCTATACCAGCTTGGGCTAATATAGGCAATGACCAGGTAAGTCATTGTGAGGTCTATGCATGCTTTATCCAGAGGTGTTCAGTTTTGGATATTTGAGGTGAGAATGGCTGTGGTCCTTGTGAAAAATCGACCGGAATCTCTGGATCAACCCAAATCACTTTCCAGGTTCTTGCAAAATTAATTTCCAGTGATTAATTTCTAAATATACTGTCCAGTCATCTCCTCTGGAGATACAATTCATTCTCTAAATGGGTTATTGATTGGTGGTCTTGATTCTAGAAATCACTTTTCTTCACAATCAAGTTTTTCAACTGCTTCCTCCAATAGATGGAAGATCGATCTCTTAATCATCCTAAAAAAACATATTGGGCTGTTGAGCCTAATATAATTGGTAGGTTTCCAATATCAAGCTTGACTTGACTTGATGGAAGAGTGTATTTCCACACTGGGATGACTGATCGTCTTATATTCTCTTTTCTCTCTCTTTCTGATTTGGTTGTCATTGATATTCAGAGATCCAACAGATTTCTCAGATCATTTCCTTTACTTTACAGCACTGATCACTTTCTTCGGATTACATTCTCATTAAATACAGGGTGGAGTGGGGAATGTTGATCTTGGTCTTGACAAACCAGATGTTTGCAACAGGAGCATGTTTATTAGTTCATTGAGTAAAATGAACTAGTAAACATATATAGAGTATATAGTAAACTAGTCTCTCTCTATATATATACAGTATATATATATTTTCTGTGCCTTAAATTTCTGTGAAGCATACAGGAAGAAAACAAGCGGTCACCATGGCAATGCCTGTGCCAAGAGTTGATGAATTGATGACATTGTCAGATATCAATGCCATTTTGTTACATGGGCCATTCACAACTTTACTTCTTGTTTTAACTTTCCTGTGTTTCAATTTTGCTAATTATGGATGTACTTCGCTGTTCACTTTTTCCAAACCAAACATCTGTTAATGTGCTAGATCCCTTGAGACATCCTAATTCCAGACTCAAGAATGGGCCTTTCCAACCTATTTTGACTTAGCCAGAATAATGTTTCCACCAACTGCAAGCCAATCACTTCCAGCAGACACATGAGTGGTGCCCAAAAAAACCCCACCGTTCTTTCTCTGCTGTTTGCTCCCAACCTTAGAACATATTCATTAATAGGGATGACCAGTCCCTAAGAAATTTCCCTTAGATACCATGCAAATTCTTCTTATCTCCACATCTCGTGCAAGTTGCTTTTTCATAAGTGAATTGAACATATACAGTCCAACTATCTGAAACCCTCTTTTTGGATCCTTTGTCTATTACACACACAGAGAAAGAGCTTTGTAACCTCTCATTTGAATCTGCAAAATCAAAGGGAGTAAACTTTCTTGGATATATGGAAAAGACACAGCGGGATTCAATACTTTTTTCTCCGTGATGGGAGAATGTCGAGTGCATCTAAATAGCAATAGCAGTAGCCCTTAGACTTATATACCGCTTCACAGTGCTTTACAGCCCTCTCTAAGCAGTTTATAGAGTCAACATATTGCCCCCAACAATCTGGGTCCTCATTTTTTATCAACCTCGGAAGGATAGAAGACTGAGTCAACCTTGAGCCGGTCAGGATCGAACTGCTGGCAGTCAGCAGAGTTAGCATGAAATGCTGCATTCTGACCACTGCGCCACCACGGCTCATAAAGAAATAGCATATAAGAGAGAGACGGGTTGATGTCTCCTCCTTTTCTTCCTGCACAAATTAACTTTATTTGAAAGGTGCACAATCCCTCGCCAATAACCTGATCTTATTATACGTAATAGTAATATTACTTATTACCAGAGTTGGTATTCAGCCGGTTCAGACCAGTTCACGCAAACCGGTAGCGGTGACTGCAGGTGCCCGCCCACCCGTCCCAGCGTAAAGATGTTCTATTTAGCCACGTTTTTGAGGCCGGGCGCATGCGCGAAAGACGTGTGCGTGAGCAAAGCGCATGCACAGAAGGCTGTGTGCACGCGCAGAAGGCCGGGCGCATGTTCAGAAGGCCGGGCACATGTTTAGAAGGCCGGGCGCGTGATAGAAGTCCGGGCGCATGCGCAGAAGGCCGGGCGCATGTTCAGAAGGCCGGGCACGTTTAGAAGGCCGGGCGCATGCGCAGAAGGCCGGGCGCATGCATAGAAGGCCGGGCGCATGCGTGGAAGGCGCACTTGTGTGTGAAGCGAGCGTGTGCGGCAAACCAGTGGGAAGCATTTCTGAAACCCACCGCTGCTTATTACTATTAGGTAATTAATATTAATATTAATTAATTAATATTAAAAGTAATCTTATTTTTTATGTTAGAATTTGATCCACCTCATGGGGAGACTAGAACAGTTCGTAACATGTTTGCTGCCACTACATCAGCACCATTTTGTATGTTGTTTAGTATCTAGTGTCCCCTTCCCTTCCCTCCCCAATATTTTGGCCATAAACCTCTTCAATTCAGTCTCCAAACGCTTTCGAATTGACTAAGGTTTCTCTGAGAAAAAGCTTTTTTTTTTCTTTTTCTTTTGGAGAATCTCCCTGACAGTCCAATTCCCTCCAACATCTGGGTAGCTTTTTTTAAAAAAAAATTGGGGGGGGGGGAAGATGGTGTCACTTCCTCTTAGCCAGCCAAGGATTTAAAGAAGTGGAATTTTTCTGTAAGCGTCTAGAATTCCATTTTGTACAACTTCCCTCTTTAGACGGCTGGAATTTGTACAACAACTAGATCAGATGTGGGATTCATGTAATTTACCTACCGGTTCGCCCAGCACTGAAAATGTGAGAGAGAACGCCTCTGAGCATCCGCTCAGCCTTCCACACATGTGCTTTGCTCGTGTGCACGCCTTCTGCGCATGCGCCCAGCCTCAAAAATGTGCCTAAATAGCACAACATAGAGCTGGGGCGGGCCACTACCGATTTGTCCGAACCGGTCCGAACCAGTTAAATACCACCTCTGAACTACATGTAGAGGAGGCAGGTCAAACTCGATTTCATTCAGGGCCGCATCAGGGTTGTGTTTGACCCTCCCATGTCGGGAGCGCCTGTAGTGGCCCGGACATGACTGGGGGCGGATCCTCCTGCAGTCCTCTGCCAGCGAAAACAGAGCCCTCCCGAGCTCCATTTTTGCTGGCAGAGGCACTATGGGTCAGTCCTTCGCTGTTTCCGGGGTGGCCCTTCGGGTCAGATCTAAGCACCCCACGGGCCAGATCTGGGCCCCGGGCCTTGAGTTTGACACCCTTGATGTAGAGTATTAAATATTCAAAGTTAAGTTCAATTCAAAGTGAAACGTTTGGCAGGGAGAGAATTCTTACACGACAGAGCAAACCTGGCATTTTATGGCCCTTTTGCTGCCCTTGTCCGGCCTGCCTGAGGTCAGCTGGAAATTAGAAACCAAATATAAATACATCAAGTGTATACCATCACCAGTAGTGAAATCCCAACCGGTTTGCTACCGGTTCGCTGACCGTGCATGCGCACTGCACATCAAATGTGCGCTCTGCACACATGCGCGCATGTGCAGTATGCACCAAAAGGAGGCTTGGGAAGGTAAGTAGAAGCAAGGGGCGGGATCAGCTGTGCCGTGCTATTTAGCTTCACTAGAAAGCAAGATTTCCTGCTTTCTAGCAAAGCTAAACCCCGCTGCACAGCTGATTGTTGGAAATACGGGTTCGGAGGAATCGGTAGCTTTTTTTTAAACTACTGGTTGGCCCGAACTGGTAGGTAACTACCGGTTCGGGCGAATCAGTAGCTTTTTAAACTGCTGTAATTTTTATCACTACCGGTTTGCCCGAACAGGTAGCATTTCATCCCTGACCATCACACAATACAACTGCATTGCTTTTATTTTGTAGCCAACTGCTTGTTTTCAATTTACCTTTTGTGTGTATTTATTACTTTCACTGCCCTATTGGTTGAGCCATCTATAACAGTCCCACTTTCTCATACGGCTCCTTGGGAAAATTAATTGCCCACCCTGGGAAACAGCAGAGTTTCTCTCAATCAAAGGCAAAACAGAAGACTTTTCCATGTGCTTTCTCAAAAGGCAACTGGGTTTTGTTTTTGCTTGAAGACGCTTCGCTTCTCATCCAAGAAGCTTCTCCAGTTCTGACCTTCGGTTCTGACCAAGCTTCTTGGATGAGAAGCGAAAGGTCTTCAAGCAAAAACGAAGTCCAGTTGCCTTTTGAAAGAGCACCTTTGGGACTAACCATGACCAGGATGACTGAGAATCTCCATAGATCCTTTCCTACATGGCCCTCGACTTACAACAGTTTTGTTTAGTGACCATTCAAAGTTACAAGGGCACTGAAAAACGTGACTTAGGTCCACTTTTCATACTTATGACTGTTGCAGCCATCCGCATGGTCACGTGATCAGAATTTGAATGCTTAGCAACTGGCATGTACAGTATTTATGACGGTTATAAAGGTTCATATGATCACCTTTTGCAACCTTCTGACAAGCAAAATCAAGGGGGAAACTAGATTCACTTAACAACCATGTTACTAACGTAACAATTCACTTAACAACCATGGCGAGAAAGGTGGCACAATGGGGCAGAATAGAATAGAATAGAATAGAATAGAATAGAATAGAATAGAATAGAATAGAATAGTGAAATGAAGAATAGAATAGAATAGAATAGAATAGAATAGAATAGAATAGAATAGAATAGAATAGAGAAATGAAGAATAGAATAGAATAGAATAGAATAGAATAGAATAGAATAGAATAGAATAGAATAGAATAGAATAGAATAGAATAGAATAGCAGAGTTGGAAGGGACCTTGGAGGTCTTCTAGTCCAACCCCCTGCTTAGGCAGGAAACCCTACATCACTTCAGACAAATGGTTATCCAACATCTTCTTAAAAATTTCCAGTGTTGGAGCATTCACAACTTCTGGAGGCAAGTTGTTCCACTGGTTAATTGTTCTCACTTAACAACTCTTGTTTAGCAATGGAAATTTGGGGTTCAGTTGTGGTCATAAGTCGAGGACTACCTGCAGATCCACAAAGTATGGAAAGGT